ATCCTGTGTGGAATTGGCCAATTGGCGACGTAGGCAATTGGATGCTACTCAAATGCGAGCAGTAGAGCACAGAAAATGATAAATAATTAGAAATAATAATTAAACGCACAAAATAAAAGAATAAAATATAATATAAATATAGAAATATTCCTACATTTGCGTATCCTAATATTTAATACAGTATTCCTATATTTGTATATTCTAATATTTAATATTTATTCTTATATGTGCTCTATTGCTAATATTTTATTTATCATATGACGAATTTTTCAAGCATACTGATTGGCTACGCTCACCAAGTGGCTAAAAGTGGAAATCGAATATGATTAGTTGGATCCACAGGTAAAAACCAACCACTGAATGCAAAACAAAAATTCAAGATTTCAAATTTATTTTCTTACAGCAATTAAATAACTATTACATCACTACAACTTGATCTATTAATTTATTACTTAATCAATTTTTCTTAAAAGACACAAGACAAACAGATTTGTTTCTCCTCCGCCTCCTAAAGATATACAAAGAATACTTAAAAATAGAGCAACAAAGTGAATATCATACATATTTTTTGTGACAATAATTAATATTTATAATCAACGTGAGCATTTACGAAATAGTACATTCAGGGAACATTATTACAGTATGTTCCTACTATGGAATTTTATGTGTATGTATAATTGTTACAGACTTTGTATATACATAAAATATCTTGTGTGCATGCATGTACCATGTATGTGTGTAATATGTGTAATAAGAAGTCTGTGAATGCTAGCAGTCATGAGAATATAAGAAAAGTTCATCACTGCTCAGTCATGCTCAAATCAAGAATTTTTGTCCTGAAAAACTCAATTATTATTTGAATTTAACTGTTCCTAATGTATGTATATGTGTTAAAAAATCTTTACTAATTTCTAGTCACAGTCTATAGGACGTCTATCCTATAATTGAGACACGGAAAGCATTGTATGCATAAATGTAGTATATTACATCTTAATTCTTTCCTATATTTGTGAGTAATATATTATGCTTGGCGATGCTCGAGATCCTACTCTTGACAAAATACGCACACAACGCACACGCGCGCGCGTATATATAAATATAACACAGTAAATGTATATTTTATACTTTGTGTGTGTGTATACGTGCGTGTAAATTCGAAGTTGTATTAATAAATACAATAATCTAGCATAACACACTGTAATATACTATATTTATACATATAAGTTAATCGGTGATTAGTGCTTGAACTCGAGCTTCGAATATATTTCTGGAAAAATCGACTTTTAACAAAGTTGACCAGATATTGCGAAAAAATCTCATGATTCATAATTCAATCAGTCACATGATTCACATATCACGTGACGACGATCGAAGAGACGGGCGAAAAAAGAAGCTTTGAACTACCTCGGTGCATTGGTCTTGGTCACGTGGTGGTTTCCGATATTTTTCTGGACCGACTCTTTTTGTACTTAACCGGTTCGGATATTGTACCGTCATTATCCGACAGAGATGATTCCTTGACGGATTTTCGACCACGACCGATGTTTCTCTCCTCGTTTTCCGAGCCTAACGATTCCCGGTTCGACTTCCGGCGCTGACGCTGCAGTGGCTGAGTCTGTGCTTCCATCGTTTCACGCAGGTGTTTTCTCTTCGCATCCCACAATATTTTTTGCCGCTGGTCGATCTCGGAATATCTACAAATATGGGCGATTAACGCCAAAATTTCTAACGCAAATCTAATAGTGATAAGTTTAATGAGAAAAATTACACATGAAATCACATAGAATTACTTGAAAATACTCAAAATTACTTGTTGAGAATAGAATTGCAAGATACTTTAACCCACAAGTATGTCGAGAGATATTAAATTTATATTTGGAGTCAACGAAACTTAGTGATTACCTATTACGAAAGTCCGAGTTGGGTGGTTCTTTCAGCCGCCAACCTTTCTTCGATTCGTACGCTCCAAGTTCCGCGAAAATTTGATTAATCTCTTCCGGCGTCAACTTGATGGCGGACGAGATCGTATTGCGATTGACAAATTGTTGCTCGATAAACGACAATAACTAAACAAAAAAAACATTTTATATACGTACATACAGTTAATAAATCTTCCTTTGTACACTTGAAGTCACAAGTTTCTTTCGTTCACTTGAATAGCAACTTTAACAAGTAATCAAATTTGACCACATGGATAATGACGCTTAATAAAGATACAAGATATACCAATAGTTTCATGAAGTTAAGTATAGCAATAATTGAAATATAAATATGAAAAAGTAGTTGAAATCTACTAAACTTAAGTGTAAGATCCGAGAATAAAGAAGCTAAAAAGTTAAATTACATTTCGGGACAATCTTTTACCATTAAATTTTAAACACTCACAATATAATCGCGAGCTTTACACATGATCTCAGAGGTGCTGTTCTGAGGGGAGGCGTTATCCTTGGGGTATATCAGTTCGCTATTCACAACCCAGTTACCCTGCACCAGCATAGCTACTTGCTGCAAATACTTGAGTATCGCTGTCGTGTCGTGCTCTGGCGAGAGAATTTCACATAACTTTGCAAAGGAGATGACTCTCACTGTAAGAAGATAAAAAATAGATTTCTATTAAAACTCTTGCACATGATACAAAAATCTGTTTAATTTATATCAACAATCAACATTTATGCTAATACATGAAAAAAATTGACTCTTTATGTTTCTAAGCGTGTATCATTAAAACGAGGAATATACAAAAATATTTTAAACGAAAGTTTCATGTTTTCAAAGACTTCTTATAGTGTATTGAAATTTTCAATTAAATTATGTATATTTTTTTATATCCTTTTTCCTTCGAGTATCATTTTCAATTGCCTTTCTCACCTTGTTTCATGATTATCCTGATTCGATCTAGCAAAGGCAAGGTCTTGATGTAGTGAAGATCCGTCTGATCCTCGGAGGTGGATTGCGAGTAGCACTCATCAGGTAACTGCGGTACCAGTAGATGTAGATAATTCCTCTGGGCCAAATTCAGGATATTTTCCGACTCTTCGGCTGACGGGCAGAACATCTCTATCCGTGTCGACTGTACAATCAAACAAATTAACGTTTAGCATTTTAATATGTAACATCTCAAAATGTAAAAAAGGCAATAAAGTAAAAGATAAAACTTGTAAGATTTTTTTGAAAATTGAAATTTGGTTTTTTACAATAACAAATATGTCATTAATTTCACGATTACATCAACGACTTACCTCAGTTTGCACGTCGTAAGTCGGGGCGTAACTCGTATGCATCCAACGCTCCTCCTGGCTTTTTTTGTAGTGATGCTGGAAGGACTGTTCCTGCAGCTTCTTCAGGTTGTCCGGTAGATGCCTGGCGAACGTCACTTTCACCGGTGTGGCGTTATCTTCTTCCTCGTCGTCGTCTGCATGTTAGCAAATGAATTTGTGAGTGTTTCTCGTTCGCTTGTGCCAAGCTCTAAAGGTTCAACACAGGCTGTCTAGGTAAATGATATTCATAAACAAGTCAGCAAAGAGAAATCCTCTTTTACCTTCTCCCCCACCCTTCGTTCCATCCTTGACGTGCTTTTCAGTTTCATCCAGATAATCGCACTGCAGCTTCATGTGCAACATTGCCTTCAACGGCGTGAGGTGCAGCTCATCGTCCTGAAAGATCCCAACTGCGAAATTGGAGCAATCCGACAACGTCCGTTCCGAAGTCAACACAATCTTGTCCATCAGACCACTAATTAAGAAAATAAATATTTTTTTATGACTATAAATTGAAGTACCTAGATAAGCTATTCCGAAACTTTGTCAATACCTATCGAATGTACTTTCATCATCGTTTCCTGTAGACTTCCCATCTGTATTTAAAGCCAACCGCTTTCCCGTACTGTGATCGTAAGAATCCTCATTTTCCGCGTCTATAGCGAGCTCTATACGAATTTTTTGATTCTCCGGCTTAACGGAAGTCTTCAAAAAGGTGGCATTGACGCAACCATCTTTCATGTATGCGGGATACTGAATAATGAACAATTGATCCGCCAAGGTCTTGGAAAGGTACACTGGTATCTGCATAAACAATTGCTTTTATTGTTCGCACATATGGAAAACAAAGATATACTCTAAAGCAGAAAATAATTTCTAAAATAAGTTTCTAGGCCCGAACAAGTTATATATATATATCGATATAAACATAAAAGCGGCAATTTTGAGCGAATCTAAAAATTTCTTGTCTCGAAACACATGAAATACATGAGTTTTACAAAAGAAATAGAGGTAATTATATTTATATTGAACATCTGTCAACAGTGGATTTTTTTACCACGTGCTCCAAAGTAGCGAGTTCTAACCTAAACAACTTTGACGTTAAACAATCTTGACGAGAGCGAATAGTAGCAAAATTCAGAAATGGAACACTAACCTCTTTCTCGACGGGATCATCGTCCACTTCCGTGGTGTCCATCTCTGTCACTTCTAAAAAATCACGAAATGATTCTTGATTTTTTCATGTACATTTATTCTGATATACGTGTACGGAGCATCTTTCGGAATTTTTTTCGAATTAGATGAAAATTGATCAAAATACACCCGCTGTGTAACAGCCCCCTACTTACATCTGCCGAGCGTGGCCGAGCGAATGGTGGCCCAGCAGAAAGGTGGCGTCGGTGGCAATTTGGCGTGTAGGGAGCAGCATATCTGTCTCCCTTCCGATTGGTCAGCCCCCTCTCCTGCGCTAGCAAGAGGGGTTGAAACGCCGTGCGGTAGAGTGCGTTGACCAATCAGAAGGCTGCCGCAAGTCGCTTGCGGCAAAATCAAAATTTGTGCATAAGCCCATAAACATAAGCATAAAAGAATTGAATGGTCCATTTGCATGTGCATAAGGAAATAGATCCGTTTCTTTATGCATATGGTTATGCACCTATGCAAGTTTGTCTGGATAGACCTTAAAGCGGGGAGCATACACTTCTGCACAACGCGTAAGCATAATGCGTAAGCATAAGAAAATTGATTGGTCCATACACATGTGTATAAGGAAATAGATTTTTTTTTGTAGAATTTTTATGACGGTTTTTGAACATTTTTTAAAAACTTTTTTTCGTAATTAAATGCAACTCAATCATGTACATTTCGTTTTTTTTACATTCAAGAAATCGCAGCATGAGAAAATCATTTCATCTTTTGAATTGTCGTGCGTCAAATACTTGTAAATATATTCAATGAGGATATGAACCAAACTGCACAGATTTATTCCAGAAATTATTTTAAAAATGGTTCGTTTATTGTTCAAGTTTCTTTACATCACATCCATATAAAACATGACACAAGTTTTCCCGCATGTTCTGCGATCGGGATAAGATAGCTCGATTTTATCGATCCGCGGTTTCCGATGGTTGCTTAACTCTTCAGTCAGCGTTTCAGGCAATTGCTTGTGCGGCCAAACGCGCAACCTTAGCCCCTGGCTCACTTCGATGTGTCGATTATACGATCAGATCCAAGTGGCCCAGCTCTGCCAATGATTAGTTGCTTCCTGCGTAAACGAACATTTAATTAAATTACTCGTCGATATATTGCGAATCGATATAGCATTACGATCTTCTATTTACATACATACATACATACATACATACATACATACATACATACATAC